CCAGCCCTTCTCTTGCCTTTGTCTTTCTGTGACCTGCCTCCTGTCCTGAAGCTACCTAGAGGCCTCCAGCCACCAGTCATTACCATGCACAAAAGGCGCTTTACTTCCAAAGTTCCAAGAATTTGGGGAATTGTAAGTCAGGAAACAAGGATGAAAACCAAATATATATTTCACAATATCACAGGTGGGAACCAGGGTTTTCATGTTCCCTAGGTGATTCTAAAGTTGAGAACAAATGTTGTTTAAAAAGAATATTAAAAATTTGTTTTCCATGCTATTGTGGGTTTTAGAATGTAATAAAAGCTACAAATTCTTCAAGAAAATGAGGCTAGTTGCAAGGTTCAAATAAGAAATGCAAGGAAATTCTTTGGAAACTGTTAAAAGCAAGAGTTACTGTTAGTATTATTATTAGATCCTGTTTTAGAGCCGATGTCAATGTCTAATGAGCTGGAAATATTTAATATAGAAATTCACCATTGTCTTCAGAGGAGTGACGCTATCAAGAAAAACATCAAACTCAGCTGAAGGTGAAAAGACAATTGAGGTGTTTCAGGCTGGTATATACACACCTTTCAATTGTAATCTCTCCCCCGTCTCTGCTTTTTATTTAAAAGAACAGTAAGACAGGAAAGGTTATCAGCAAGAAATGATGGCGAGACATATCCTCTCTCTATGCCTTCTCCATTCTTGATAATCCTCTACTTTAATTTATGGCTTTCACATTCCTCCCTAGTTCCTACACTGATCTGGCTTTTAGCCAAGGTTGTAAACTAGCAGCCCTAAGAGGTCTATCCTCATCCCAGATCCTGTGTTCTGCAAAGGGGAGATCTGTTTATCTATCCATGGGTAGAAGAAACTGGATCAGAGGACTCAAGAAATTTGCCCTGAATCCCACAGTAAATTAGAGCCAGAAAAAGATCCAGTTCTCTGTAAACCTAGCAGAAATCCCACAATCAGTACAAGAAATAATCAGAACAAAACATAAAAACATTGGAAGAAACAAAAGAATGGAGTGGGGTGGGGAGAAAGAACAAGCTGCCTGATGCAAAACGTCCCCAAACATGAGGGGAGATGACAGACAGCCAAGAGTAATGATACCGAAGACAGAGCCACATTGATGCATATCACAAAACCTGAAACTGAAGGGAATTGAAGCCTTTCCTTGGGAGGCATTTCATCATTTTCTCAGTAATTGCATCAGTTTTATAATTTCTTCCATCGCTGACTCCCCAGAAGTCCCAGTATCTCTTATCTGATGTAGAGGTGGCAGGTAACGGTGTTTGCCTTCCAGGAAATTAAAGACCCCCTCAATGACTGCATTAGTCATCCACACTTGTTGCTGTGACTGAGCTTACAATTAGCATCAGATCTGGGCAGGGGAAAGATACGAAAATTCATAAGCAGGAAACAATCATATCTTCTCCTTATCTAGCTCTCACTTTATAAGAAATACCTGCGAAGTCTTTTTTGTGTGTGCATTTCTAATGTTTTCCATCACGGGACATATTTTGACAGGCTGGAAGATGTCCACAGGGGTACTGGAAACTATTTTGGATTCGTAGGAAATCATGAACTCCATCTAGCTTTCTGAGTTGCTCTATTGAGCTGCCCTTTACTTAAAAGAACAAAAATGTTTCAGGATTGTATTTCAACATTTCAGGACACCCAGAAGGCAAGTAACTGTAGCACTGAAAAAAAGGCTCTGTTCTCTCTCCTTGGAAGGTGCTAGAAGTGTGTACTCTGGTTTTATTACTGCTTTATCTGTTGGGCACTTTTTCACACTAGGGGTTAGGGAGGAGCTGGGCACATTGTTCTGTAAGCATGGTGCTTCAGACTGAGCCACGCAACAAAGTCTAGCCTAGAGTGGGAAAAACTAAAGGCAAGAATACTAATGGACAAGCGCTGGTTCCTGAGTTTTTCAAGCTAATGGCCCAAAGGTCTCTGAAACCTGCCAAACTGTTGGCAATAATGGCGCCGATAGGTTTCAGTTCTTACTGACCCTTAAGCTTCTGTTCTCCAGGGTCACGGTCCTGCCTCCCAGGGTCACAGTACTGCCTTAAGTCTAGCTTGAATCCTCCTTCTGCCCCAACCTCCAATCAGCATGAACCATAAGATCCTAACCAACCAGATCATGCTGAGTGCCACTGAGGGGTATTTAAGCCCCTGCCCCTCTCTCTCTCCCTCTCTTGGCTCTCTCTGCTCTCTCCCTCTCCCACCCGGCAATAAAAAATCTCTTGGCCAGATCACTTCTCTCCACGTGGTCACTTTTGGGGCCTATATTTCCTTACACAAACTGTCTTTGTTTGCTTAAGAATATAGTAACAAAATTTTAAATGTACACATGTAACTCTTTGACTCATGAAATCCAAGGCTAGGTATTTACCCTACAGGCATACCTCACATATATGTCTATATTTTGTACAAAGCTATTTGTTAGAGTATAATTTGTAGTTACAAAACAAAAAAAACCCAAAAAAAGATAAACAGTGGGACATAGGTGATGCACATCTGTAATTCCAGCACTCAGAAGGCTAAGACAAGAGGAACATGAGTTCAAGGCCAGACTGTGCTACATAGTGAGACCCTGTCTCAAAAAACAATGTACATATGTATGTAAATGGAAAAATGAGACCTGTTGAAACTATTCCAAGAGTGGGTGGAAGGAAGATAAAAGAGAATGATGGAGGGGTGAATTCAACTGTAAATGTCACAGTGTACCCCCAGTACAATAATAATAATAATAATAATAATAATAAAACTTTTTTAAAAAAAAGATAATAAATAGCCTGGCCTGGCACCAGTGGCTCACACCTGTAATCGTAGATACTCAGGAGGCAGAGATCAGGAGGATCTAAGTTTGAAGCCAGCCTGGGCAAACAGTTCATGAGACTCTATCACAAAAAAAAAAAAAAAAAATCACAAAAAAGGGCAGGTGGGGGGCTGGTGGAGTGGCTCAAGTGGTTGAGCGCCTGCCTAGCAAGCTTGAGGTCCTGAGTTCAAACCCCAGTACCACCAAAAAAAAAAAAAAAAAAAAAAAAAAGGGCAGGTGGAGTGTCTCAAGGTGTAGGCTCTGAGTGCAAACCCCATACCACAATAAATAAAATAAATAGCCTAAAGAGGCATTAACAGAGGATAAGTTCAATAAACTATGCTTCATCCACACAATGGAATCCTATACAGCAGATAAAAAAGATTAAAGTAGCACTTACATACTTCAGGAAAATCTCCAAGCTGTATTAGCTTAATAAATGTAGGCAACACAGCAGTGGATATAATATGCTACTGCGGCGAGATAGGTAAGGTCACTGGGAAACTTAAAAAACTTTATATATATATATATTTTATATATATATATATCACAAATTAAGCCAGGCTCAGGAATTAAACAGAACCAAGAAGTAAAACTGAAAAAAATCACTGAGAACAGCAAGCCTTCCTTCCATCAACCCCCACTCCCTTCCCCAAACTTCTTTTAGATGTTAAAAACTCCATTTTGTCTCTCTGCTTGGGACCTTAACAAAATGATGAAGGGTCACCAAGTGATTTGACCAGATTTGTAGGTAAGGGTTCCAGCGCAGAAAGCATAAATACACCAGGGACAAGGGAGGTCATCCATTTTGAGCCTCTCTGCTTCCACTCCCCCACTCCACCCCACCATGTCAGGAGGTGCGCCTTTCTCCCTTTCTCTTTCTCCCTGCTTTCCTAAATAAACCCTTGCTGAACATAATTTCTGAAAAATATTCTGAAACTGAGGGAAAACCAAAATGAACCCTCTAACCTCACTTGCTTTTGAGTCGGCTTCAAAAACCACCAATTTTGGAGGTCACACAGTTGAGCAATACATTATTAGTCTCCCACTAGCTTTGACTAAGACCTCTGACCTGTGGGTCACAATGATCCCAGTTGCCTAGGTTATTTGCAGGGACTTGAAGGCCACTTTGTCAAATCACCTGCTCTTCATTTGGATCTGTGCAAGTCTCCTATGGGTCACCTTTGCTGTGACAGAACCTAAAACTCCACCTTCAGGTCACGCTAACACCGTGATTTTCTGAGCTAGAGTCCCATGAAGAGGAACACAGTTTGCTCATGGGAGCCCAGACCACAAATTGCTTCACCTCCAGTCACTTTTCCCACAGTTTACATCACCCAGGCTGCTTTTATTCTTTTTTCTTTTCTTTCGTTTCCCTTTCTTTTTCTCATTAACTAAGGAAACTTGACTCTAAAATTGTTTTTCTTCTTAACTGTTTATTTCTCCAAAAAGTACAAAATAAACACAGACTACACATGACCATTAAGAATTCCAACCTGGGCTGGGGGAATGGCTCAAGTGGTAGAGTACCTACCTAGCAAGCATGAGGCCCTGAGTTCAAAACCTAGTACCCTCCAAAAAAAAAAAAGAATTCCAATCTAATGTAGTTCTGCTACCTAACAGACCTGTTTTCATAGTTAGAACACAATTTATAAATTTCTCACTCATTTATATAATAAATCTTATAAAAAATACATAACTTTTTCAAATAAATCATAGCCTTTTAAATTTGCAATTATTAAAGTAGAAATAATTATTCAAATTGTTTTGAAAACACAATGGAAGGGCTGGGAGCAAGACTCAAGTGGTAGGGCCTTGAAAGGCCTTGAAAGTACAAGGTCCCAAGTTCAAACCCCAGTACTGCCAAAAAGAAAAATAAATTAGTTGAATTAAAAATGCATATTGGGAAAATTATTTATTTCACTCCATGAAATTTAGACAAGTAATTTTACATTTTATTTTAAGACAACAGTCAGAAAACATTTCTGTACATCTGATACTAATAAGGATCATGATATATAGGTGAAATATTTAAACATGCAGACTCACTTTTAATGGATTTCTATAAATAACATTAACAGGAAAACACATATAACACAACTTAGTTGGATCTAAAAGCTTTAATGCATTTAAATATTGAAGGAAACTAATATCCTGAACACTTTTTCACTTAAAAAACACATTGTGGGGAGGGCAGATAGCAGGGTGTACACAAGGTCCTGGGTTTGATCCCCAGCAAAAAGCAAAACAAAAAATACATTGTAAGAATAGGCTCAAAGATGATGGAGGAATTAATCACACTCAACAATTCACAAACATGACGTTTTTTTGTTTTTTTTTGAGACAAGGTCTCACCATGCAGCCCGAACTGCCTCAGCTTCCCAAGTGCTGGGATTACAGCCTGCACCAACATGTCCAGCTCAAACATGGCATTTTTAAGATGTGAACAAGGACAATGTGTTAGCAGCACAGGCAACAGGGCGGGAACTCTTCATATCTCGTAGTTTCTGAACTTCCTGAGGAGTTCTGAAGGAGCATCCCCAGACCAGCGGAAACGGAGGTGCCCATAATTCACGTCTGAGAAGTCTTTAGAAAAGAGAAACAATTTAAAATCAGAGGTAGGAAGAGAAAAGTCCAGACTACAAAGTAAAACAGCTCAGGGATAAGATTTCACTGCAATAAGTGAAAACAGAAAAAGATCAACTTAAGCACACTATGAAATTTGTATGAACAGGAATTATACTTTATGTAGAAGAACCTCACTTACTTAAATACTTAAAAATTATTCTCTCCGCTGGCAGGTACTTTACCAATTTACCTGTTAAGAAATTGGAAATTATTTTCACACAGCTTTCAAAAACTTTTTTCTAAAAGTAAAAGGTAAAGGTCAATGGTAAAGATCTCTAAAAATACTAGTAGTTTAATTTCATGGTAATAAGATTTTTCTAAATTACAGTAGACAGCATTACTAAAAACTAAAGAAAAGTCATTGTCCTTTTCTACTGGGAGAAGTATACATTGGAAAGACTCTTCAGGAAGGCAATTTGGAATTATTTATCAAACTTACTAACTTGCATAAGCCTTTAATTCAGTAATTCTACTTCTGGAAAATCATCCTAAGGAAATAAAAATGGATATGCCCAAGGGTTTAACTCTAAAAATTTTACAATGATGCCATTTATAAATGTTTTAATCAAGAAACAACCTAAATCTTCAGCAACAGAAAGCTGATTAAAAGACTTTGAGCTGGGTGCTAGTGGCTCACGGCTATAATCCTAGCTACTTGGGAGGCATAGCTCAGAAGGACTGCAGTTCAAAGCCAGCCCAGGGCAAATAATTCATGAGACCCTCTCTCAAAAAATACCCAACACAACACACACACACACAAAAGGGCTGATGGAATGGGTCAGGAGGTAGAGACCCCGCCTAGCAAGCATGAGACCCTAAGTTCAAACCCAAAGTTTTATGTGTATGCTGGGGGTTGAACCCAGGCCCTCACGCCTAAGTACTCTCTGTAACACTGAGCCCCAACAATTTTTAATATTTACTATCATAGAAAAATGGTCGTGGACTATTACCAAATGACAGATAATTAGAAAACACTTTTTATAGTATGATGCCTTTCCTAAGTTAATTATTTACATGGTATTTACATGAACATTTTTAAAAAGCTAAAAGGAAGCCCACCGTGATGGTGCACATTTATAATCTCACCACTTAGGAGCCTGAGGCAGGAAGATTGTGAGTTTGAGGCCAGCCTAGGGTACAGAGAGAGATTCTGTCTCAAAAAAGAAAAAATCTAAATGGAAACACACCAAAATGTTAACTGTAGTTATCCTTGGATAGTTGCAATAGATGTAATTTTCATTTCTTGTATTATTTTTATCTGGACAATCTTATTTTTCTTCAATAAAAAAAGCATGCTTTATAGCCAGCTGTGGTAGCCCACACATGTAATCTCAGCACTAGGGAGGCTGAGGCAGGAGAATCATGAGTTTGAGGATAGCCCAGACTACAAAGTGAGACTCTATCTCCAAACAAACAAACAAAAGCATGCTTTATGTCTTTCTTTATGTTCATAATATTGCCAATGGGAAAAACCAATTATAGAATAATATGTAAAACAGGCTTCCATTGATATGTAAAAATGGTACCTAAATATCTAGCCAGGAAAAAAATACACAGAATAATTTAGTGTTTATTTCAGGAAAACAGGACTTCCCACTTTTTTTTTCAAATTATCAGAGAAAACAATTCCAAAAACATTCTATTTAAGGGAAAAAGGAAATCATTTCTGACAGTGTAACTGAAACTTACTTAGGATTACCCTTGCAGCTTTAGGTATACTAATATAAATGAAAATAAACCAAAATATCAATTATTGGTATTTTCTGGATAATAAGATTACAAATTGTTATTTTTTTCTTACATTTCTACAGCAAATATGTGTCATTTTTGTAGTTTTTAAAAAGATGTAGTTCCTAGGAATAGAAGGAATGTACCTCAACAGAAAAAAGGCTATATATGACAAACCTATAGCTAGCATCATACTAAATGGGGAAAAACTGAAATCATTTTCCCTAAAGTCAGGAACAAGACAAAAGTACCCACGCTCTCCACTCCTATTCAACACAGTCTTGGAATTCCTAGCCAGAGCAAGAAGGCAGGAAGAAGAAATAAAAGGAATACAAACAGGTAAAGAAGAAGTCAAACCATCCCTGTTCACAGATGACATGATCCTATACCTCAAGGAACCAAAAAACTCCACCAAAAAAATTCCTAGACACCACCATAAACAGCTTCAGCAAAGTAGCAGGATTCAAAATCAATTTACAAAAATCAGTAGCCTCTCCATATACCAACAATGAACAGACTGAGAAAGAATATAGGAAAACAATTCCATTTACAATAGCCTCAAAAAAAATCAAATACTTAGGAATAAACTTAACAAATGATATAAATGACCTCTACAAGGAGAAATATAAACATCTGAAGAAAGAGATCGAAGAAGACTACAGAAGGTGGAAAAATCTCCCATGCTCATGGATTAGCAGAATCAACATAGTAAAAATGGCTATACTACCAAAAGCAATCTACATGTTCAACACAATCCCATCAAAACCCCAATGACATTCATCACAGAGATTGAAAAATCTACCCTAAAGTTCATTTGGAAACACAAGAAACTGAGAATAGCCAAGGCAATACTCAGCAAAAAAAAACAACTCTGGAGGTGTCACAATACCCACCTTCAAACTACACTACAGAACCATTGCAATAAAAACAGCATGGTAATGGCACAAAAACAGACATGAAGACCAGTGGAACAGAATAGAGGACCTGGATATGAATTCACGCAGCTACGCTCACCTAATTTTGACAAAGGTAGAGAAAAGACAGCCTCTTCAACAAATGTTGCTGGGAAAACTGGATATCTGCCTGCAGAAAACTGAAACTAGATCTATGTTTGCCACTCTGTACACATATCAACTCAAAGTGGATTAAGGACCTTAATGTCAGACCTGAAACCTTGAGGCTAGTACAAGAAAAAGCAAGGAATACTCTGGAAGCAGTAGGCATAGGCAAGGACTTCCTCAGTAGAACACAAGTGGCTCAGCAACTAAGAGAAATGATGGACAAATGGCAGTATATGAAATTAAAAAGCTTCTGTACAACAAAAGGTATGGTCTCTAAATTGAAGAGGCCACCTACAGAATGGGATAAAATCTTTGCCAGTTATACATCAGACCAGGGACTGATAACCAGAATATACAGAGAGCTCAAGAAACTAAACTCCCTCCAAATCAATGACCCAATAAAGAAATGGGCAACTGAATTAAACAGAACTTTTTCAAAGGAAGAAATCCAAATGACTAAAAAACACACGAGAAAATGCTTACCCTTCCTGCCCATAAAGGAAATGCAAATCAAAACCACACTAAGATTCCACCTCACCCCTGTTAGAATAGCCATCATCAAAAACACCACCACCAACATGTGTTAGTGAGGATGTGGGGAAAAAGGAACCCTCATACACTGCTGGTGGGATTGTAAGCTGGTACAAACACTTTGGAAAACAATATGGAGGTTCCTTAAAAAACTAAACACAGATCTGCCCATATGATCCAGCAATCCCACTCTTGGGGATATACCCAAAGGAACGTGACTCAGGTTACTCCACAGGCACCTGGACACCCATGTTTATTGCAGCACTATTCACAATAGCCAAGCTATGTATACAGCCAAGATGCCCCACTACTGACGAATGGATCAAGAAAATGTGGTATTTATACACAATGGAATTTTACTCAGCCACAAAGAATGAAATTTTGTCATTCACAGGTAAATGGATGGAACTAGAGAACATCATCTTAAGTGAAGTCAGCCAGGCTCAGAAGGCCAAAAATCGCATGTTCTCTCTCATATTTGGATTACAGACCTACAACAAATGCAGCAATATTATGGGACACAGGTCACACTAAGGGGAGACTACACACAGGAGGGATAGGGCAAGGGAAGGAAACCAAAACCTTGAATGAGGCTGATATGCTCACTGTACAGGAATGAATATAGAAATCGTAAACTGACTGGCCACCATAGGAAGGGGTCTAGGGAGGAGTGAAGAGGACTGGAAGAGGTGAATCAATTCAGCTTGTAATACACATATGCAGGGGAATAACACAAGGAAACTCCCTGTGTAGCTGTCTTTATCTCAAACTAGTAAAAATGCCATGTTTCTCTTATTATCTTTTATGTTTTTTTCTTCTACAAAATTGGAGGAACAGTAGAGCAGAACAGGTTCTTCCCAGTGGGGGAAGCACAGGTGGGAGGGGGAGGCGGCAGGGAAAGGGATAGGAGGATGAATATGATACAAATAATGTACACATGTATGTAAATATGAAAATGATACCTGTTGAAACTGTGCCAAAAATCAGGGGAAGGGGGATGAAAGAGAGCAGTGGAGGGGTGAATTAAAATATAATATATTTTATACATTGTAAGAACCTTTTAAATGCTACAATGTACCCCCACTCAGCACAACAATAATTTTTTTTAAAAAGATGTAGTTTCGGGTTTGAGCTACCTTAGAAATAGATACATAGAAGAATTTGAATCAAAGTCAATAATTTGGGAGGTGCTTGGCACCGGCAGGTGAATAAGAAAGGAAACCAAAATCGTAAGGGGGTCGTTATCAAACAAGTTACCACCCTGAATGACTAGATTTTGATCACACTGGGAATCCTAGGAAATCATATAAAGTTAGAGCTATCCTATATCAATAGGGTAGGAGCTGAGTGAGAAACAGCCTCCCCCTCCCAATGATGGCTGTCTGATGGCTCCCTCCAAAGGACTTTTACTCCCTGGCACTTCCTGTTGGCAAGCAGGCTCCACTGCCTGAGAAAACCCCTGGCAATGTTTCAGCAGGTAGGTGCCCATAGGGTGTGGTGCACACCAACAGCTACATGAAAAGTTTTTAGTTGTTATTCCAGGATGTTACATAAAACTGTTTGATGCTAGAACTGTCCTTATCAGAAGGCCTACTTAATACATATTTAAAAAGAAAGTAAAAGCAATATTGCTTTGCACACCAGTTTTTGGATGGCCACATCCAAAATCCACCTTTACTGGCTGCAATGAAGAGTCAGAATGTGTACTATTTGGGGCCGCTCATCACAGGAGAGGCTCATAAGGCAAACTCCAACTTTAGTATCAAGCACTGCTCATAGAAATTAACAAAGAGAAAATAACATGTAAGAAGCCACTGAGGGCTTGATAAAGCTGACGTGAATAAAGTTTCTTCAATACTGATACTGTAAAATTTTACACTGCAATGATGACATCATAAATAATCACGCAACTGCACTTTGATTACCAGACTCCAGCTTTAAAGCGCTACTCAGAAGAGCCAATAATCTCTTAAAGAGCATTAAGGAAAAAAACTGGGAAATACAGGCTTTGGCAGAATTTCATAATGCTTCTCCAACAACAGCTTCTCAAAGAGTAGAAGAGGGGTGAACATAACAAAGTCCCTTCTATGCATGGATGGAAATACCACGATGAACCCCTTTGCACAGGAGATGCACTTTTAAAAAAAATAGAACAGGCAATGATCCTCACTGCCTTCATCCTTCTTAAACCACAGTAACACATGCACTTTACAGTGTGAGGACATCGAAACTGGCTTCACGGCCTGGCAGAGTGGTTCAAGTGGTAGAACACCTGTCTAGTAAGCATGAGGCCCTGAGTTCAAACTGTAGAACTGCAAAAGCAAAAAAAATTGCAATTCAATTTGTCCTGAGTAAATGATGATACCTCTGCACTCTGAAATATTATCAGCGGTTAAGAAGAATGAATTCAGCCAGGTGCCTGTGGCTCACAGTAATCCTAGCTTCTCAGGAGGCAGGAGTCAGGAGGATCGAAGTTCAAAGCCAGCCCAGGCAAATAGTTCTCAAGACCCTATCTCAAAAAACCCTTCACAAAAATTGGGCTGGTGGAGTGGCTAAAGGTGAAGGCCCTAAACTCAAGTCCCAGTACCTCAAAATAAAAAAAAAAAAAAAAAGAATGAATTCACGGCCAGGTATGGGGGGCTCACACTTGGATTCCCAGCACTCAAGAACTCAGGAGGCTAAGGCAGGTAGATCGGGAGTTTGAGGCCAGCCTGGACTACATGGTGAGACCCTGTCTCAAACAAAAAATAGATAGAAAGAAAGGGCTGGTGGAGTGGCTCAAGTGGTAGAGCACCTGCCTAGCAAGCATGAGACCCTGAGGAATATAAGGACCTATGGAGAAGGCCACAATAATAAGAACTAGGGCTGAAACTATGCTGACCATGTGTCTGGTACTAATCTAAATATTTTATATACATTAAGTTATTTATTCCTCAAGAAAACCTTTCAAGAGAGACATATTTTAACTGTCACATAGCTAAGAAAACTCAAACACTGAGGGGTTAACTAACTGGCCCAGGCCACACAATTCATCAGTGGAAAGCTGAGAACTGACTCTGTCCTCTTGACCTTTCTGTAACATAAAGGCATGTTATTTTTAAAGCTCTCATAAGGTCGCACACACTTACATAGGCTCGCATTAGCACAGGAAACGGTGTGGAGGGAGACACAGGAACATTCACATTGATTACTTCAGGAAACAGAAGAGGAGGAGGATGGTAGGCTGGGGTAGACACCAAGTTACTGTCTATCTATCATTCTCTGAATTTTTTAATAAGTTCCTATTACTTGATTTTTTTAAATACCAAAATAACGATTTTTTTAAAAAGAAAATTTCATAGAATCCTTGCGAGAGGCTCAGGTAGGGCCTCAGAGTTGTACCTGAGTTTCTTAAATGTCCAACCCCCTTTCCCCCAGTCGCAGTAGGCATAACTGAAACAGGAAGGCCAGGGTTCAGGAAGCACAGAACAGAATATTCTGGGACTGAAAGAAGAGACATTTGGGTGTTTGCCTCTGTGTGTGCACACATATCGGGGGGGTGGGGGTGTTTGTATGTGTTTGCTTAAAACCCTGTTTTGTGAAATTCGGGCTTCTTCTTTGATCAAGTTTTTTATGTTATAACCATATCCAGCAGCAAGGCTGACACAGCAGATGTGCTGACTTACAGAAATTTCTTTGGTAACCAGCAGAGACGCCTGAATCAAACTCTAAAAATCCTCAATCCCAGCAAATAGGTAGTACGCAAAAGTTCTGCCCAAAGAGACAATTGAAGTAAGTATTTTTGGAAAAACTGTCATTCATCACAAACTATTTAATGATCTTTTTTATTCAAGTATTCAAGGATGTTCAGGAATCTTCTTAAAGGCTAAACTGCCAAGCACCACTGGTGGCTCACACCTGTAATCTACCTGCTTGAGAGGATGAAATCGGGAGGATCAAGGTTCAGCCAACACAGGCAAATAGTTTGGAAGACCCTATCTCCAAAATAATCAGAGCAAAATGGACTGGAGGTGTGGCTCAAGTGGGAGAGCACCTATTTTGCCAGCCTGAAACCCTGAGTCCTACCAAAAAAAAAAAAAAGACACTGAGAAGTACCTCAGGTTTTCCCTTTGAAGGAATGTATGTACCTTCTACTTTCTTTGTCAATATGAAGTATCTTCTAAGATGCTAAATTCATCCTTAAATTGGCACAACTGTGCAGGCTGGAAAAGGCTAAGGACAAATGCAGTATAAACCACACTCTTTAGTTTCAGCCCCTCTGTGCTCTGTGACATGACTTACTTGGTGAATCTAGATTTTGTGGGGAGACTGACTTCTCCAAGGACTCCGATTGTTTTTGATTCATTTTCTCTGTGGTTGAATCCAGATTCTCTTTCTTTATTTCTCTTTGCTCATTCCATTCCTCATTTTTCATCCTGTTGGTATGAGTCTGGTCAGATTCTTCCAGCATCAGGTCTTTTTTACCTCTGACAGTCCAGTGCATTGACTAAATTAATTAAAAGCAGACACAGAAATGTTAAATCAGTATTCTATGGTTTTCTATATTTAAAGTTCAATGTGTTTAACACCTGGCCCATTATTACAGAGCTGGTCAACAGAATGCTAGACCTGACTATTAACCAGAGGCTTCAATTAATCCAGATATTAATCCAAATACTAGTTAATTAATCACTCATTTGGAAGTCTGATATTACAAGAAGTAATATCATGATACAGAGCTAAGGCACCACTATTAGGAGAGTTCAAAGAATGAGATGACCCATTCATGTGTATGTGTGTGTGTGTGTGTATATATATATATATATATATATATATATATATATATATGTCTGTATATATGTGTGTGTGTATATATATATATCAAATCATTGAAAACATGTGTACAAGGAAAAAACTTGCATTCAAAGTAGCCAATAACATTTAGGAAAACACCCAAATGTTCACTAACTAATGAATGGATTCTTTTAATGTGATATATACATAAAATGAAGTATTATTTAGTTATAAAAAAGGAATAAAGTACTAATATGTGCTACAACATGAATAAACCCTGAAAACATACTAAGTGAAAAAAACAGATTAAAAAAGGTCACATATGGGGCTGGAGGCATGGCTCAAGTGGTAGAAGGCTTGCAATCCTAGCTATCCTAGCTACCTGGAAAGCAGAGATTGAGAGGATCAGTTCAACCCAGAGCAAAAAGTTCTTGAGACCCCTTCTCAACCAATAAAAGCTGAGCATGATGGGACATGCCTGACATCTCAGCTATACAAGAAGCATAAATAGGAAGATCATGGTCCAGGCCAGTCTGGGCATAAAAGCTAGACGTCATTTGAAAAATAACTAAAGCAAAAAGGATTGGTGGGCTCAAGGGCTGGGAGTCAAGGAAAGCAGAGAATTATCACAAATGGATTTCATTTCCGGGTGATGAAATAGATCTATAACCAGAGAGTGGCAATGACTCAACAACATTGCAAATATAATTAAGGCTGCTAAATTGTACACTTTTAAAATGATTAAAATGATACACATTTTATGCGTACTTTACCACGAAAATCAAAGAGAATAAGGCTGTATGCCTTGAGTCATGGCAAAGATCAAATTATTACGTCTACTGCCATTGTAACTACTTGTTCCAGTTTAATTGTGCTGGATTACATTTCCAACACAATCTCCAATGTGATAGTGTTGAAAAATGGGACCATTAAGAGGTGTTAGGCAGAGCCATTGTGAATGGATTAATATCTTTATCATGGAAATCACAGAAGTGGGTTCATTTTAAAAGTGAGTTCAGGCCCATTCTTGCTCTCTCATGTTCCCTTGCCTTTCTACCTTCTACCACAGGATGATGAAACATGACCTCTCCAGATGCAGAGCCCATGATCTCCAGCTTCCTTGCCTCCAGATCCATGTGAAATAAATCCTTGGTCTTCATAAATTACCCAGTCTCAGATATTCTAGTAGTAGAATATGGCATGAAATGGACAAAGACACCGTTATTGTCACAATGACTGTGACCTCCCTCCCAGCAATGATCAGTGCATACTTGACAAATATCAGAATTCTGGATTATACACTTTCATAAAACTCATGATAAAGCAAGAATTCATCCATCTTTACTATGAAGAGTGGTCTTTATTTTAAGTGGATGCACTTTAGGAGAATTTTTTGAAGTCCAGTTAGCTTCAGATGACAAGACCTTTATACATTTCCATTTATTTTCTTAAAAGGATGATGTAAGTGAGTAGTATATATTACAGGGAAAGTCTCTGGAAGAAAACACAAGAAATGACAATGGTGGCTATTTCTGGAATAGGGAAGTAGACCTAGGATCTGGAGTAAGGATGCACTGGTTTGGTTTTTTTTAACAACAGTGTATCTTATTGTACTATTTTTTATTTTTAGCAATAGTATAATTTTATTACATTTCTCATTTATAATTTAAAAATTCAGGATCTGTACATCAACAATGTTAGTCATTGTGTCCATTGACTTTTGGTGTAACTTTTATACAAAAGGAATCAAACCTTTTAAAACTAATCCTAGAATTATGCCCAACAGAATTGGTGCTGGTTCTTTTCTTAGTGATTTCATTGTGTGATGTGTCTGCCTGCTAATGGTAGAGGGACGAGGAAAAGGGATGAAATAGAAATGGGTGTTGTAATAGAAAAGTCTAGAAAGGTCAGGGTACTGAGAAACAAAACAATGAGACAGATGTATTTTGTGCATACCTTTTTTTATCTTTTTCATTTTCTTTCCTATATATACATATTCCCTACTAAAACTTTTAAAGCTGGGGGCTAGGGATGGGACTCAGCAATAGAGCACTTGCCTGACACGTGTGAGGCCTCGTGTTTGGTCCCTAACGTGACATAAAAGAATAAGATAGATGGTTTACAGGTAAAATACCAAGGCAAAGCCACACAGAAGAGACAAGCAATGAAGGACAAGAATGTAAAACAGGTTATGTTAATGGGGGTAAAAGCAGGAGGGGAGGACAGATGAAGAAGATGAAGGAGGGTGAATATGGTTAAGATACTTTCTATACATGTATGAATATGGAATGTTCAAACCTGTCAAAGTTGCTTGAAGAAGGGAAATGGGGGAAGGCGGAGAATAATGGAGGGGATGAACCAAACCAGGGTACACTATATTTATACATAAAAGTGTCACAACAAAACCCCTGTATAACTATCATATAGTCATAAAAAAATTTTAAAAAAAGAAAAAGATGGATATATTCAAATATAGACATATAAATATATGCAGATACATACAATGTGAATATAGACACAAATATACATACATAGACTGGAGAACAACATAGCCAATCTTAAAACCCTAAGCATACTCAAGTGCTGTGCCCTAACCAAATCAAACAAGTCACTTACTCCACCTTCCATGCAACTTCTCCAACTACACACAAGCATCCACCTGAACCCTTTCCTCAGATGGATCCAATCTGAGGCTAATCGTCCCAATTACCCCAAGATCCAAGCCACCCCAAAGAGCAGTCATCAACATTATTCAATGTACTCACCTCTCACATTAATAAGGGAAAATTGGAAGGAAATGCACCAAAAAGTTAACTGTGATTATGCCTCCACAGCAGGATTATAAAGTGAGGGTGGTATTTTTCAAATTTACTATAATAATATTACATATATATATATGGATAAAACACATATAAAGAAAAATGCATTTTAGCCAGACATGGTGGCACATACCTGTAATCTCAGCACTCGGGAGGCTGAGGCAGTTTCAGACCACCCTGAGCTAAGTAGTGAGACTGGGTCACACACACAAAAAAAAAAAGGAGAAAAAAAGTAGATTTCAAGAATTAGATGTAGTAATGATTACAAAAATGTATAAGGAGGGAGTTTCTGCATGCCAACAATATGGGTGTCAGAATGGCCACAAAGTAAACACTTCAAACCATTTGCTAAACTGTAAATGCAAGTGTTCTCCGTAGGTTTTACTCCAAAATAAAAATGTTCATTTTTAAAAGAGGCAATTGGGGGTTGAGGGCATAACTCAAGAGGTAGAGCCCCTGCTTAATATGAGGCCCTGAGTTCAAACCCCAGTACCACCAAAAAAGAAAAAAGAAAGAAAGAAGCATCAGCCTCTGGCTTTTGTCTGGTTGGTTTGGGCTTCTTGTGTTGCTTTATTTGTTTGTACATGCTCAGAATTAGAAAAGGCTGGCCAGTGCTTCCTCTGTAGGGGGGAGGATATTGGGAAGATTAGTGAAAAACTAAGAGTAGAAATTTAAGATTTCAGTGTGCACAGAGCTGAAAATATGAACTGTAAATGTTGCACGTTGGTCAGGTGGCTTGTACATGGTGCGTCTCTCTTGAAATCAAAGTGCCAAACTATGGTCTGCCTTAGACAGATACTGAGGATTAATGACTCATAATAAATCTTTGAAAGCGCTCAGTGAGAAGACATCCTGAGATAGCAGTCTTACTCATTCATCACCTTTATGAGTAAATTAAAACAAACTATTTTATCATCAGACTCCTATATCTGCTGATCCCAATTACAGAAATATGCAAAAGAAAAATCCAAACTGCAGCTAACCTTGTAGATAGGTGTTTTTGTGCCTTGTAGTTCAATCAAAGGATGGATACAAGAGTGGTGCTAGGCAGCCTGGTATGTTGGGATGCAGTTGGATACCCTGCAAACTGATCACTTCTGCTTTCACAGAGTGTAATTCTCAGTAACACTGGGGGATTAGCTGCCCAGAACATTTAACATCAAGTGAATCTATTTTCATAGATTCATTCCAACAGAATAAGCATCAATAGGGCTGGGGGGTAGCTCAGTGCTAGAGCACTTGCCTAGCATATGTGAGACCCTGGGTTGGAACCCCAGCACCCCAAAAAAAAAAAAAAAAAAAAAAAGAATGAATGACAGGCTGCTGATGATAGAGACTAAGAAGGAGATTAGGAAAAGGAGAATCTGTTTAGCCAAACAACAATTCCACAAGGCAAAAAGTCAGCACGTGCCTGAAGCAAAAACTAAACCAGCTTCAAAGGCCACTAATCCTAAAATCTGTGAGACTGGCGTGTGGTTGTTCTTCCTTCACAATGAACTCATTTACCACTTTCCTTAATAGACTTTTCCACCCTCTCTAAGAAATCACTTTCTTACATGCTGGAGCTATACCAAATTGACTGGTTATTTTTATTCTAGAGCACCAGGAGTGAATTTTTCACATGCCTAGGTGATTGATTTCTGACCTGCTTTTGGATAATGTCCACTTAAAACAGATTGCCTTTTGAACAGGCCCAGAAGGTATTGAATTGCACATTGCTTCCCATCTGGCTAAAGAAATAGTAATCGTACAGGCATAGTAGGAAGCTTCTCTGGTCCTATGTGGCCAACTGGAGTCACCCCAAAGACACTTCACCCAGCTGAAAACCCAGAAACAATCAAAAGACAAATAGGTCCATGTGGACTGACAGGGAAGCCCCAAAAAGCCCTCCCAGAAATAATGTGTCAAATAACCAATTCACTAAAAACGTGTTTCTATTTGCTTTCTATAAAATTGGTGGCAATTAATGCGGCATGGGACATTTTTAACAGCTCATGAGAATTTTTCTCAGAGCTTTATGGTGACTGTGGCTTCACTATAACCACTTTCCAGCAGCCTTCTTCAAGCCATTCTGCCATCTATTTTGGAGCTATCCAGAGAACCAGCTATACCCTGCAGGACAAAAATGAACTTCTCTAGATTCTTTGTGCTAAAAAAGGTCTCTGTTTGCAAGTTATCCCAGGATCCCAAAAGCCTGGATTACTGAAATTCTCGTCCCACATTTCTTTCTTTATAAAATCAATTGCCACATGTATAAATTTAAATTTCTAACATATTCAATGACCTAGATAAATTTCTAATACATTTTTACAAATGAAACTATCAAGAGAAATTTCTAAGAAAGGAAAAAAGATAAGTAGCTAATGAAATGACAGAGACTTGGTATGGGAAAAAAATATATCAGTTAGCGCTTCATAAATTAGTGTCACCCTGAAGTTATTGGCTTATGTAAGGGATTTTCCCGAAGGACAGTCCTGAGGTGATCCTGTGTGATGCCACAAAACAACGTGTGATTTATCCTGTCTTGTAGGTATGAAGACTAATATTGCTTTCAACCAATGCTTTTCCTTCCAGAGGGATTATACTGCTTAAATAAAAAAGCAAAAATACAAGATTGATGATGTAAAGGAAAGAGATTTTATGAGATTTAACACTCTAGAAACATGCAGGCAGGCAAATATGCAGATGTGTCTTACACACATATCACCTCAAATTCAAATTCTAATGTTATAACCATTTGATCATCACAAAGGCATATGTAATATAAATAATCCCCAAATCCTAGCTTTTCTACAAAAGGATAGAAATAATCTATCAGAAGATGGGCAATACTAGGTATGATCATTGTTACTGATTTCTCCAGACTATGAATGTAAAAGGATAAACAAATGAAATAACTCAAAGAAAAGGAATTCGTTCCAGCACTTGGGAGGCTGATGTGGGAGGATCACCTCCTATCTCACCAGTCTGGGGCAACATAGTGAGGCCCTGGCTCAGAAAAAAAGGTAACAGATAGAAGTGAGAATCTCACAAGCAGAAGTCACTTTTAGGATTAAAACAGAAAGTAAAGAAAGCTACAGAAAGACTACTGAATGATACACGAATCAGGTGAAACTTAGAATGGGAGATTCAAAGTCCACTGAGGAAGAGAAGCGAATGGAAGTTAGAAACCACCAGTTTTCATCCAAACAAAGAGGACTGTGAGAAAAAAAAAAATCACTGCTGATTTAAAAGCAGAGAGATATGAATCTAATCATTTTGTACCACTAATAAAAAACAAATCCGAAACCAAGTGCTAGCCCCTCACACTACTGTAATTTTGCTGACAAGAAAAATAAAGCATCGAGTCAGATCCAAAATTGAATTATTATATGACTTCAGACAGTTCATAGTTAAGCTAAACTCAAATGGAGACAGGAAATTAGTAATAAATGGAAAGACACTGACAAGATAAATTAAAGTAAGGATTTGGAGAACAGTTTTTTAATAATCCACAGCTAACTTGATATAGGCTGAAAATTCAGTGACAGGAGCCGGGCACTAGTGGTTCACACCTGTAATCCTAACTACTTGGGAGGCTGAGATTGTTAGGATTTCGGTTCAAGGCCAGCCACAGCAAAAAGTTCATAAGACCCTATCTTCAAATTAACTAGAACAAAATGGGCTGCAGGTGAGGGTCAAGTGGTAGAGTGCCTGCTTTGCAAGTGCAAAGCCCTGAGTTCAAACCTCAGTCCCATAAAACAAAACAAACAAAAAAAAGTTAAGTGACAGAGTTGAGTAGATCATTTTTAAAAAATGAGCTATGAATCAGAAGGAATTCAAATAGCAAGGGTCACTAATTCTATTGTAGTTACACTGTGTCATGTGTAGGAGGCTGGAAATAGGATTAGGCAGAGTTAGAACAATGTGAGTTAGCTAGCTAGTGTCAACAAGAAATGTTGCATATACACAGTGTAAAAGCAAAGAATCTTATTTCTGAATATATGAAGAGAAGTCATTATTTTTGAAAGATTCCCTCTACCTATTTTTTGCACATATACAAATATGGCTAGTCCCGCTTAAATAATTAACCCACCTTAAGCAAATCCATTTCTTTCTAAAGTGAGATGAAGAAAGCAGTTTACATTCTCCACAGATGGCTTTAACCATATACTCTCAGAGTTTTCCATTGGTCTCCCCATGATTTCAAGGACGCTCCCTCAGTACTACAGGCCTTTTATCAACAACTTCAAGTCTTCCTAAAGAAAATACTATGACAAGGGAGATTAAAATGTAACCCCAGAGGGCTGAAGTTTAAGACATGTGAATCACTTTATAGACCAATTCTAACAAGTGTCCTTGAAAACTTACCTGTAAAGGCATTTCTGTATTCAAGGTCATATAAAAGTGTCCCTATGGAACCAATCCAGGTAATGAAATCATGCCTACAATAACAGAACCCTTTAAAATTACATTTCTCTATAGCATATAAAGATAAATATAAATGGAACAAATATAGCATAGTGAATTAGTCATTTCTTTTTGGTAGTAATGGGATTGGACCCAGGGCCTGGCACATACTAAGCACATGCCTGACAGTGAGCCACACCTCCAGCCCTGCCAGTGATAGTCTTGATATGTACTTTTTTTAATGTCATGAAAAAAGATAACACAATGGTTTAACAATTCCAACAATCGTTTGTCCAAAACATATGATAGGAATGATTTACAGCTTTCTTTAATTAATTGGTTCCTGTTTTTCATAGACATATAAGTGTTGAGAAAAAGGGAAAGATGAGGAAAAATGAATTTGCAATGGTCCAAAATTCAGTTATAAGAGCAACTTGAGGATCACATTTATTAGAAATGAGGTGTAAGTGATAACAGGGAGTGTGTCCACTTAGCCAAAGAAATTAAAATTGTAGTCATGGGCTTTTCTGGGACTGATTTTTTGCCTCTGTTCTCAATTTCCTCTCATAGGATGTTGTGAGCACTAAGTTATACCCAGACTCTACCAATTTCTTCTTGGTCTTCTCCATCCTGTTGCCTACTGAGTCGCTAAACTACTAAATGAGTCTAGTCCGTGAGAAGCCTGAACCTCACAAATTCTCAGCATGCTCAGACAGAAACCCACCGTTTTCACTGAGTCAGCCAAAGCGTCCCACTGCTGGAATGGCAGTGATATCTGGCTCCTCCGCCAGTGATCATAGCGAGCTCTGCTCTTTTCATTGGTCAGAATCTCCTTTGCCTTCTGAAGTTTCTGGAAAGTCTCCACTGGAAAACAAATCAAGAGATGAGCACTTGCTCTTGGAGAGGTTATTTTAAACTCCAAAACTATGAAACCAATCTCATTAGATACATGATTGCCATTTACTACTATGTAGCATTGGGCCAGTTTACCTAGTCAAGTTTTAGCTTCCTCATTTGTAAAGTGCACCATAAAGATGAGTGAGAGCCTCATGGAAGGTGCCTGACACAGTGTATCCACTCACTTTCCTGGCCTCCATTGATGTGTCAAGTGCTGATGACACCAATGCAAATCGCAGATGTTATTAGTGGGAAAGATAAGAGGGTACAAAATTCAATTTTGCTCACAAGGAAGAAAACTATCTTTTCTATTGCTAGTTGTGAGGGAGAGTAGTGATCAGACGAGATGGACAATATAAATGAGGACTCTAAGTCAGGAAGAAACTTGGTGATTTGGAAGTTGAAATTGCCTATGTGACTGGAGCATCCAGAGCCAGAGTAAGAATTGAGAGTGATGGGATGCACAGTGGACAAAGGCCGGTCATCCAGGGCCTTGAATGTCATACTAAAGATTCTGGTCTCTGTACAGTCATTAACGTTATGGGAAGCTATGGGGAAGCTTTGAATATAGTAACTAACATGGCAGGCACTCAGTAAGTGGTAGCTTTTTCACTGACCTATTCAGCTGGATGGCATGCAATGGAATCCTTTCATGGTTGTATTGGAAACTTTTGCAAAGTCTCTTCTGCCACCCGCCCCCAGTGAAGCTAAAACTTTCTGTAAAGCAGGATATAAGATGAATATATAACAATCAACCGAGTAGTGAACAATCTGAAAATGAAATTAAGGAAAAATTCCATTTCATAATAACATCAAAAAGAATAAAATACTTAGGAAAATTTTTAACAAGGTAAGAGTGTCTGCCTAGCAAGCATGAAACCCTGAGTTCAAACCCAGCATCACTGGAGAAGGAGCAGGAGAAAAGCAAGACATACACTGAAAACTGCACGATACCATTGAAAGAAATTAAACAAGACCTAATTAAATAGAAAGACACTCCTGTTTCTGGATTAGAAGACTTAATATTGCTAAAATGATAATACTCCCCTAACTCATCTACAGATTTGACATAACTCTACCAAAATCCTAGCTGCCTTTTGTGCAGAAATTGACAAGCTGGTCCTAACATCCTAAAATATGCAAGTGCAAGGGACTCACAATAGCCAAAACAACCTTGAGAAATAAGAACAAAGTTGGACGTCTCACATTTCTTAATTCTAAATTTTACAGATAGTAATGAGAACAATATGGCACTGATGTAAGTATAGACATATAGATAAGTGGAACAGAATTGAGTATCCAGAAATAAATTTAACATTTACAGTTAGTTGATTTTTGACAAGAGTGCCAAGATAATTCAATTGGGAAAAAAAGAGTGTTTTCAGTAAATGGAGCTGAACAGCTGGATATCCATATATAAAAAATGAATTTGGATCCCTACTCACACCATACACAAAAATTAACTCAAAATGGGTCACAGCCCAACGCATGTATTATAGCAGCCAGGTGTCTTTGTGCTTTCCGATCACAATAATATACTACCTGTAAATACATTTTTCTATTTTATATTTTTTTGTAATTTTTTGGCATTTTGTTTCATTGGTGTGCTGTATTTTCCTTGCCCTCACTCTTTTAAGAACAAAAAGAAAAAAAGAAAAGGAAAAGAGCAAAAAAAAAAGGGTCACAGATCAAAATTTAAGAAAACGTATGAGAGTAAATCTTTGTGACCTTGGATTGACACCAAAAGGACAAAAGTAAACATAGAGAACTGAACTATATAAAAATTAACTTTGAGGCTGGAAGTAAAGTTCAAGTGGGAGAGTGCTTGCCTAGCAAGCATGAGGCCCTGGGTTCAATCCTCAGTATGGCCAAAAGAAAAATTAAAAGTTCTGCGCTGCAAAAAGTAACATCAAGAAAGTGAATAGAATGGTAGTAAACGCGTGTAATTCCAGCTACTTAGGAGGCAGAGGCAGGAGGCTCATGAGTTCAAAGCCAGCTTGAGATTATAAAGAAAAAAAAAAAAGGCTGTGGAGCATGGCTCAAGTGGTACAACATTTGCTTAGCATCCCAAGGCTCTGGGTTCCCCGCCAGAAGAAAAGTAAACAAAAAAAAGAAAGAAAATGAAAACACAGCCCATGGAATGAGGGAAAAATTGCAAAACATAGATCTGATACTGATATCTAAAATTTACAATGAACTCTTACAACTCAATAAGAAGTCAACCCAATCACAAAATGAGCAAAAGGCATGCACATTTCTCCAAAGAACACACACAGATAGCTAACGAGTACACAGAAAGATTCTCAGTCATATTAGTGTTCAGGGAGCTAAAAAGCCAAACCACAGTGAAGCATCACTCATACCCACTAGGCTGACTTAAATAAAAAGATAGGTAACAACAAGTGTTGCCTAGGTATATGGAGAATTGGGAAACTTCATGCATGCAGATGAAAATTTAAAACAGCATAGCCACTTTGAAAACTGGTTTAGCAATTCCTCAAAATGTTAAATAGAGTAACCACATGACCCAAAAATTTCAATCCTTGGTATGTACTGATGAAAACTGAAGACATATCTTCACATCAAAACTTACATGTAATAGGAGCATTATTCTAACAGCCAAAAGGTTAAAACATGGGCTGGAGGCCTAACTCAAGTGGCAGAGCATCTGCCTAACAAGCCTGAGTGCCCTGAGTTCAAACCCCAGTACTACCAAAAAAAAAAAAAAAGTGAAAACAACCTAAATGTCCATCAGCTGAGAGAAACAAAATGTGGTATATCCACATAAAGAAATTATCATTTGGTTGTTAAAAGGAATGAAATACTGATACATACTACATCCCGGATTAAGAAACCAGTCACAGAGGGTGGGGGCGGGGGCAGGAGGGAGAAATGACCCAAACAATGTATGCACATGTGAATAAATGAATAATAAAAATAAATAAAGAAAAGAAAAGAAAAAAAAAAAGAAACCAGTCACAAAAGGCTATATATTGCATGATTCTATTTATATGAAATCTTCAAAATAGCCAAACAATAGAGACAGAAAGGGGATTAATGGTTGCCAGGGGTTGAGCAGGCAGGAATGGGAAGTGATTGTTAGTGAGTATGAGGTTTCTTCTGTGGTGACAAAATGTTCTGAAATTAGACAGTAGCAATGGTCTCACAACACTTTAAATATATTAAAAACCATTGAAATGTACACCCTAAAGGGTGAACTTTATGTGAATTAAACCTCAATAAAGATATTGTTTTTTATGATCCAGCAATCCCACTCCTGGGGATAGACCCAAAGGAATGTGACAGGTTACTCCAGAGGCACCTGCACACCCATGTTTATTGCAGCGCTGTTCACAATAGCCAAGTTATGGAAACAGCCAAGATGCCCCACTAGTGATGAATGGATCAAGAAAATGTGGTACTTGTACACAATGGAATTTTACTCAGCCATGAAGAAGAATGAAATCTTATCATTCTCAAGTAAATGAATGGAACTGGAGAACATCATTCTGAGTGAGGTTAGCCAGGCTCAGAAGACCAAAAATCATATGTTCTCCCTCATATGCGGACTTTAGATCTAGGGCAAATACAGAAATGTGGTTGGACTTGGGTCACACGCTAAGGGGAGAGCACATACGGGAGGAATGGGGATAGGTAGGAAAACCAAAACTTGGAAGTGTTTGATGTCCCCACTGCAGAGGAACTAATACAGTAACCTTAAAACAACAGAGGTCAACATGGGAAGGTGACCGGGAAGTAGTGAAGAGGTCAGGTAGAGATGAATCAATTAAGGTTGCAAATACACTTGTACATGGAAGCAATGCTAGGAATCTCTCTGTATAGCTATCCTTATCTCAACTAGAAAAAACGCTTTGTCTTTCTTATTATTGCTTATGTCTTCTCTTTAACAAAATTGGAGAAAAGGGCAGAACAGGTTCTGCCTGGAAGTGAGGGTGGGAGGGGGAGGGAGGGAGCAGGGGGCAGTGGGGAGAATGGCCCAAACAATGTAGGCACATATGAATAAATGAATAAAGAAAAAAGGGCTGGTGGAGTGGCTCGGGGCATAGGCCCTGACTTCAAACCCCAGTACCACAAAATAAATAAATAAATAAAATTTAAAAATCTGTTCTTAAAGGTGATGGAATTTTGTGACATGATTATGATGGTAGTTACATGAATCTATGCAGATATTAAAATTCATAGAACTGTGTACCAAAGAAGTCAATTTTACTGTATGACAATTTTTAAATAAAATTATTCTAAAACTGTACATAAAATCACACGGAGGATAACTTGTGAAAGACCCACTGACATAAGTAGGAAGCACCTGTCGTAACAACAGTTACATTTACAAGCACCTAGTCTAGCTTTGTGTTAGTCCTGGAGTGGTTCATATTTCTCTTTTACAAATCTACGAATTGAACTGGGTATTATTATCATTAACTCCACTTAGTAGAATCCTTAAGGTTGAAGGAGGTTAATGCAACTTGCCCAAAGTCCCAAAGCTTCACATGTTGGAGCCATGGTTCAAATCCAAGCCCACAAGATTCTAATCTCTGTGGTCAAACTACGCTTGATGACCTTCCTGCACCATCCGTTTTCCTGCAATGCTTGTTGTCCTCTAGCCTCACATTCCCTCCAGCCCCATCATTCATCAATAAGATCGCGGGTAGAGTGTGTGCTTAGCAAGCAGAAGGCCCTGGGTTCAGTCTCTAGCAACGCTTAATTTTTTTTTTTTTTGGCAGTACTGGGGTTTGAACTCGGGGCCTCATGCTTGCTAGGCAGGTGCTGTACCACTTGAGCCACTCTGCCAGTCCTTTTTTTGTGTTGGGTATTTTTGAGATAGGGTCTTGTGAACTATTTACCCCAGTTGGCTTCAAATGGTGATCCTCCTGATCTCTGCCTCCTGAGTAGCTAGGATTACAGACATGAGTCACTGGTGCCTAGCTCCTAGCAATATTTTAAAA